AGAAGGATTAAAAGTCATGACCTCTGATGCCATGATTGCAACATAACTGACTTGGCTTTATCCAAGCGGTGTCCATGTTTCAGACCTCTCACTGGGCACTTCCCATGGCAGCAGTAGACACATCAAACATGCATCCCCTCCTACTACAAGACATGATTTAAGGATAGAAGGTGACATGTGCTGACATTATGCTAACACTGTCATCCCAAAACCAAAAATTCAGACTCTCAGCACACTAATGCAGGAAGTGCTATCACAGATAAAACTTAAATTCCTGGTTTTTGGTAAAAAAGTCAAAACAAACACTTATTAAAGGAAATATCACAGCTTTTTAGCTAAATTAATTTGAATTAAAGATCAGCTTTAAGATAATCCAAATACATTTTAAAGAGATAATATGTAATATGTTCCTGTAGCTCTCTAAACATTCTGGCACTTGCTACCACCATCCATCTACAAAGTGATCAAGCTCAAAGAACTGTTGGATATTTACCCATACCCACACACCAGACTGCTATAAAGCAGCATTATTGGGTTAGGCCCCTAAATACTGGTGTTTTGGGTGAAACCTATGGTACATCTTGCTCCACTGTGTACAAACAGTTTCTGTCTCAGATCCCTCTAACCCACAATAAAAACAGCAAGAGGTTTAGCTTTGTTCTGATCCACTAGCCAACTTTGTGCATAAACCGATTTAGGAATCATGTGATTTCCAATCACCTCTGTGCTGCAGGTCCACTGTGTGAGTAATGTGGGCCACAGATGATCCATTTATGTGGAGTGCTTTAGCATCATGGTCATTTTCCTCAATCACTAAATGCTGCTTCATTGTAACAGAGTTCACAACTGGGCCCGAAGCTCAGATCAGAGGTGTAAATGTCTCATGCATCTGCACACACACACACACACACAGACGGAGGAGGCCTGGGAGCTGGAGGCTGACCAGTGAAGTCAGAGACACATTGATGACTCAGAGCAATATCTGCTAAATAACACACAACGGTATCACAAAACTGACAGGAACTAACGTGCCCAAAAGAGGGAAGATGAAAAGTTATTTTTGTCAATGTGTCTTTCTCTGTGTTCTCATATTTATTTGGATGGCAGTGATTTATTGCCTGCTATAGAATCTAAAGGGTCACACAATTAAAATGCAGGTATCTACACATACTCATACAGATTTAAATCATCATTATCAAGCGTTACAACTGCCTGGTGGCTTCAGTGTCGTTGGACACAGCTAAGACCACAAAGACAAGAGGGTGAAATGGCTCTTCTTCCTGTGCCTGCAGCTCACAGAGATGAGGGTGTGCACGCTGGTTCAGCTGCACTTTGCATTCTTCAGACAGTTTCAATTGATGAAAAGCTTCCTGCAATTTTGTTTGCTGACTAGAATAAAACAGTTCTTTACGAATCCTGAGCATGGTTAGCTCACCGTGACTACACTGCAGAAATCAACTTTTGTTGTCTTGTGTGATTTTAAAGCTTCACAGTGCAAAGTGATAGTCCTACCATGTGAGCAATAAGAGAGGAGAGCCTTCATCTACTTGCTGTTTTGGGGTTTTATTGGGTAAAAAGCCCTGCAATCCATCGTCCCTCTAGCTTCTAAAATCCAGTGCAAAACCACCAAGCAAACGAACAACAAGACACAGACACAGACTTGTAATTGCATTCATACAGTATAGTCAACACACAGTAGTGATGTATACACATTTTAACTGCATCCTGGTGCTATAGGGTACACCCTCCCCCATCACACTGATAAAAATACCCCCGCGAGGATGACAGAAAAAGATCACACTGAGTCTGAGCCTCTCTGGGCCGCAGGTGCTTGTCTGGCAGCAGCAAGAGTTTAAACCTCTGGTGTCCTTATAAACACACGCTGACTGCTATATTGTTCTGGGATCACTTTGAGATGGTAAAATTAATATTCACAGGTCCCTTGAAGTGGTTTTGGCAAGCACCGATGTACAGACACACACTGGTGTGTGCAGTCTAGCGGTGGACCTTTGCCGCTTCCCTGCCCATCTCTGCTGAGTTATCACAAATAAGGGCTAAAAAAATTTATAACAAAACAAATATTCATGTGCATGAAATACCCACAAGCCTGACAGAATTTCAGTGCACTTGTTAGCTCATGTGTTGCTGCCCTAAGTCAAATCAGCTACTGTTTGGGCATTAGAAGAAGGCAACCTCATCACATGAAAACAAATAATTAAATGGGGACTTCATGTGTCAGCTATGCAGTTACACCACCACAAAATCACCAGAGCTGACTTAGACTCCCATTTAAAATATGACAGGCAGTTAACGTCACACCGCTTGTGTGCATGTCTGTAAAGATGTACGTGTGTGTACTGCAGTTGCACACTGATTAGTAGCACAGTTAAGTACTTCCATGCATGGAATATTACATCCTCCCAATTAAAATGATTTAAAAGGAATGTAATGCGAAAAAAGTTATCCAATTAAATTAAAGTACCCACTAAATGTTTGTGCTGTAGTATAGTTCTGCAGAAGGTGCAACTGAGATAGGCATATAAAAGAGGACAGGACCAAAAAATAAAAAGACACATAGAGACACGAAGATGCAGGGAAGTGAAATGACAAGATGAACAACGCAATTCGAGAGTCAGTACAAAAGGAAAATTTAGTGGCATTTCCACTCTTGGATAATTGAGACAGGTACTTTCCTCCTCTATCATTCCCTTTCTTAATGCCTTATTCCATGCCCTCCCCCCGCGCATCCTTCCTCCTATGACCTTCATCTCTCTTCATCTTCTGCTCTTCCCTTTATACATTCTCTCCTCTGTTTTGGTCGTGGAGTCAAAAGAATTTTTTTTTTTTACTTTTTCCACTGAAAACATTTTGACTTCTCTGATCAAATCATTGGGGTGTGTGTGTGTGTGTGTGTGTGTGTGAGAGAGACACAATATGTGTGGTTATGTGTAGAGTGAGTGTGTGTGCTGTTAATCCCACCAGACTGCTAATGGTTATGCTTAGGAGGTGAAGCCGTGTTAGATGAACGTGTATGATCGTGTGTTACAGCACCAGAAAGGTGTTATAACAAATCAGCTGAATCAGAGTCTTTTCTCCTCTTAAACCATCTGTTATCAACAAGCAGCGGTCATGTTCATTAACAAATAATTCAGCCAATGCCACGATCCTTTTTAACTGCAGCTGCAGTTAAGAGGGATCATGCCATTTGCACTCTGCTCTCAGCTGTGCTCACGTCTGTTTGCCTGCAGGCATGTATCTGCCTGGATGTACACACGTGTGCATTATTATGTGCAACCATGTGTGTGTGGGTGGCTTTAGACTCTGAGCATGCCCATGTGCGCGATGATTACAAATCTGCTTTCCCTCGATGGATCACACTTCTGAGCAGAGTGGCCATGCCTTTATGAATGTTGATGGACAGCCGGTGCATGTGAGTGAGACCATTTGGTGGCCTGTTCACTGATAAACTGATTCTACAATTAGACTGAGCAGAATTATCTCTGGACTTAAAAACATGATAAACAACAACAAAAAAAAACAATGACAAGAAAAAAAATACAAATTACTTAACTGGCATTGTGTTCAGACAGATCCTCTTCTTAAAGAGAGCATCCTTCCTCGGTGTGGTCTTTTTTGCATCAGTTTCTTCAGCACCAAATCAGTGCCTTTGCTTTACAATCATTCACTCCAATACTAGACATATAGCCGTTTTGCAAAATAATATCTAGCCTCAAGTTCAACACTTATGCAAGCTGTAAATCAGTGCTCCAAAGGATACGACTCCACCCAGAGAGACAGCAATTCATGTTAAAACCAGATTTAAGCATGTTTAATGCGCTAATGAAAAGTGCTGTATTTATATGTAGCTGGTAGATGGCAATGTTGTGACATCAGGCCCATCTGCGACTCAGTCTGAACCTCTATTGAGAACATTACCGAGCCCCAGGCAGAAACAGAGAGAAAGATAGACAAAGAGCGTAAGGGGAGAGATGACCGATGGAAAGCTGGTCACCTCCTGTGAATGCCATCATTCCTTTTCCTCCTCCTTCATCTCTTCTCTACGGTCTCTCCTGCTCCCTCCCTTCTCTTACACCAGGATTGAGGACTAGGCAGCAGGTCTAACTCAGTACACTGTGCAGCAAAAATCAGTGAAAGACAGACTAAGATGAAGCAGGGGCATTGGAGGGAAGAAATAATGCTAAGTAAAGGAGCGACACATTTTTTTGGACAGCTCTGGTGTGTGCTCCGCCATCCTGTCAACCTCCACTTCCACCCCCAAGACAGAAAATCCACAATGTGCCACATTACACCTGCATTTTAGCTGTCTTTCTTGTGATATTGGAGACATTAGCAATTAAAAGTAGAAGCTCCAGTGAGGGGAAAAAAATGATCGCTGTAATCAGTGACAATGCCACATGTAGCCCCTTAACAATACACATAACGCATATTCACATATCTAATATCCTAAAATCCCAATTGATTATGAGATGAATCCAACCACTGTGACTGACTTACACACATCAGTATCAACACCCCACCCTTGCTGTCCAGACAGGGAGCGCTTAATATTCATCCAATGGTGAGTCGGGGCACCAGGACAACTCCCTATACGCATAAACAGCCTTAACAGACATGCACATACACACCTTATTTGCAAATACAGCCAGCTGTAGGGGAATTCCCTTGCCTCTTACAAGACTGGTTTCTCTTGATCTATACATCATCAGTGCATGTTGTCATTGTTTTTTTTCTCTAAAGCCATGATATCTAGTTTGTGAACAGGCATGTGGTCGGGGACTCAGAACAAACAAAAGGAAGTAAAAAAAAATTTTAAAATATGGAAAATATTTCCCACAAGAAACTGGAAGTGTACATCAAAAATCGAAATGCTTGAAAAAAATCCAAGTGATGCTTGATTATTCATCTTCCCGGCTCTGCTGTCTCTTGTCTCTTTCCAGCACTGTAGATATTACCAATTCTCCACATTTCCCCTCAATTTTCTCTCCTTCTCTGCCCCTCTTTGTCATTACGGTCTCCTTTAATGGCCCCGTATCTTCTCCCTTCTTGGCTTTACCACTAGCAATGATAATAAGGACAAGGATAATCACCTTTATGTTTAAAGAAGAGGAAAACAGAGCTGAAACAGTTGTGTTCCATGAGAAATAAGTATAGAGCTGGATGTTTAAAACAGTAAAACATTCATTCTTGCAGCACTGACTCGGTTCAAGTCCTCCTTTTCTTCTCATTCATTCATCTTCTCCCTCACATCTCTCCTCTAGTGTACAAACCTGTCTCTGCTCTCACTTCATTCTTTTTCCTTCAGAAATGTCCCCTACATATCTATTTTTCTCCATCCTAGTTTTCCCTTTACTTCAGCATCCTCAAATCAACCAGCTCACAGCTTCTTTCATCTTTCTCATCTCTATTAATTCGTCTGCTACTACCCTCTGGTATCCACCACTAGTGTACATGTGAATGTGTGTAAAAACACTAACCTTCCCTTTTGGCAAGCAGAGCAGAGCCAGGCTTTGTCCCTCTCGCTGTAGGTGCAGCAGGTCTTGCAGACGTTGTACTGGCAGTCCAGGCACTGGCGCTTGGGGTTGAGCAGGAAGGTAAAGGGCGCGCAGCAGCGGATGCAGCAGTGCTCATTGAAACGATGCTGCTTCGAGAGGATGGAGCATCTGCTGCCTTCCTCTGCCAGCTCCTGCTTCATCTCACTAAAAATGAGAGAGAGAGACGAAGCGAGACAGAGGGGGGGGAGAGGACAGGAGGGGGAGGGGGAAGAGAGCAGGAGGCTGGTGAGCGTCTCGTTAAGAGGAGGAAACATGAAAACAGTGCAGAATGGCAATGCAGACCAACTGAAGAAGCTGTGGCAAATGACAAGAAAGGAGGGTCATAGGTTTGGTGAAAACACTCCCCTATTTGTTTCGCTTTTTCCCTCTCCCTTCTCTGTCTCACTCTCTTACACTGATTCTGAAATTAATGTGATGGCTGACATTTTAATTTCTGAGGACGAACTGTTATACCATAGTATACCATAGCCCACATGTGTCAAAACACAGCTAAAAAGATCGCGGCATGCTCTTCTTTCTCATGCTCCAATAAAACAGAATCTTTGTCAATTAAGTCACTATGTGGATAAGAATAACAACAATAGACTGGCATTACTGTAAGTGCTAAGCTGAAGGTCACTTGGTGGAGATCTCACTATCAACACACGTTAATGAAAAACCTTCAAGTCATACTGGAGAGCTATTTAGGCTGCAGTCCAAAAATTACAGCAATGAAGGAGCACCAACAAACAGCACAGTATCAATATGCCTGTTAAGGCCTCTGAGAATCGATCAGGCTAATGAACTATTAGGATTACAACCTGAAATAATTGACCAACACGTGTTTAAAAAAAATCTAATAAAATACCCAGCCACAGCTGACAGTGACATTTCAGCAGCTGCATACAACTAATTATGCATCCTTTTATTGGCATTAAGCTATATTTAGCTTATTATATTGACATTAGGTCTTATTCAAAGTCTGATAAAAAGACAAAGAGACAAAATAGTACAGGCTGTTCATCAGTGTTTTAAATCAGCACAGCAGCTATCTAAACTCAACATAAATTATGTATATAGGTTGTTTCTCTGTAGGATTTGTGCTGACTAAGTGCAGGGGGCAGGGCTACAGTAAATGTAATGGTTAGCATAAACCTATCACTGTCAGTATATATTGCAGTTGTGTCAATTATACTTAAAATAATACACACAGAGGAGGAAAGCTTAAGTAAAACATATGTCTATATCTGCACTAGGCTGAAATGCACAGATCAAGCTATTGCTGCTGGGAAGGTGTGAAAGTGAGTGCAGCTCGAGTGGACGGAGTAAATTATTTACGGTGCTTCTCTACACATCAAACACAGCCAGGTTACAGCCTACAACACTTTCTGATTCTATACATGTACACACTTAAAGATTAGAAGTGCAAAACAAAAAATATGTTTTATATACGCAGTGATACATGCAACAGATATAAAATATACACAAACACCCACGGATGTACCAAAAATGTGTGCAGGTGTCCCCACATCAATTAAAGCACCAAATCACACATACCCTCTTGTCATCACATATGCTGTATGTAGCGTGCTGAACTGTGCACCTGTGTCTGTGCAGCCAGTGGTCAGTAGCGTGGTCTCCCATCTCCCTAAGTTATCAGCAGTGCTCTTCAAGCACATCCTGTGCAGCCTCACTGATTGCTTTTCAAATGCATCATTAGGTGCAGCATATTATGTGAGAGCGGGCAGGGGTGGGTGTTGACAGGCAGTGGTTGGCGTTAGCGTAGTGATGGCAAGACAGACACTTACTGTATATTATACCACAATGATCAAAAGAAGTTTCATATTCTGCATATACATACACAAGGTCACATCTGCTGGGAAATGGTGGCCCCACAAAAAGTAAAACAATTTAAATGCACCTCCAAGCAACATAGATAATAGAGACTCATCCTGTCTACACTGTAGCATCTGGTTCACAAACAACCCAGAACATATTCACACCCCTAGATAGAAATATACAAGAAGCCATTGCCTGGAAACAATCCTTCAGTTCAGATTAGGGTCAGGATCCATTTTCTCTGTCTGTGTCTGTGATACGGGTTTATTGAACAGCCCAGTTAGATGATGGCTAGCTCCGGCCCTTTAATTAAATGAGTGGGCAAATGCTCACATATATCCAGGGACAGGAGGGATCGGTTATGCCTGGCATCCCTTTGAATTAACTCACAATTCTGTTAATGAGAAATGAAAACCTGTGCTCGTCTGGCAGCCGTGGCTGTAGATACGTGTGGGTCTTCCAGGCGCCACTAAGGTACAATTAGCTCATAAAAATAACACTTCTAAGTATTAGCAAGTTCCTAGTACACTGTTTTTTGAGTTACTATAATGTATTAACAGGCGATTTACTGGTGGGAATGCTCTGAAAACAGGCAATCAATACCAATGATACACTGTTGTCAGCTTTTTTTCCATAAAAAGACCAGAACAGCTACAAAACAGACCATGTGGTGATACTTTTATCCATTTCAAGAGAGGTCAGCAGCTCAAAACTCAAAGATATTGAGTTTACAATTGCATAAAACTGAGTAAAACAGCAATTCCTCACAATGGAAATGCTAAAAATAGAGAATGTTTGCTTGAAAAATTAAAGAATATCAAATTAATGATATCCAATATCAACAACACTGTGGACAACATTGCTGTTAACAACTATGCAGATTTGAAACAAGGACAATAATATTTTTATTTCCATCCTATTCGGCATCATCTGTTCATTTCAATAAGGTCCGAGTTTTGGACACGGAGGGAAAGTGAAGATAATAAAAAAAATTGGAGGTAAGCTTCTTTTCAACTGCAGATCAACTCCAGTTTGCTCACCAGTTGTATTACATGCTGCACAAATACAAACACAAAAATGCTTTAGACATCAGACAGGCACATGCAGAACTTGCTTAGGTTCTGCAGGATTATTGGGCAAACAGCCCCAATGTGCCACCTCATGGCATTTAACATGTTTACTAGTCCATTAGTTACTCGAGCATTGCATTAATGTCAAAATTATCTATTGAAATAGCAGTGGACAAATTAAGAACCACAGGAAGTTTGACGCATACTCAAAAACTATTGATTATGCAAATATGCCTCTGCAGTGTACGTGTTGTGGGTACAGTGGGTGTAAAAGAGGGAAACGGAGCACATGAGCTGAATACCAACTCATTTTGTAATTTACAATCAGGGCAGCAGAGTGGTATATGATTTAATGACACGCATTACATTTCTGACAGACTGTCACTCAAATATTGCGTGGTGTGAATGAGCCTTTAACTCCATATCTTTCTTATTATCCATCAGTTCACCCCGTGTTCCCTCATTACACCTTTTCCCTACTGCTGATTTCTCTTTCTGACCAACAGGCAGGCGTAGGCTTAAGTTTCCGGGCGAACTGGCCAGATTTGTAATAAAGATAGAGATATACCGAGTTCAAGCTACAGCCTGGCCAGAAAACAATTGCAGTTCTTTTTTCCAAAGATGGATCGTCCTCTCAGCAGCTACTGTCTGCTCAGCGCTGTGCTTAAGAGTTATAGCTCTCAAAACTGATGAACTGCTGACCAACACACAACTGAAAAGCTATGTGATCGGTCCTAGTTGAACACTACTGTGTTAAGAATCTGAAGTTTTATGCTAATGAATTATATATTTAAAGGAGCCAATTCAATATGCAATAACAGATTAAACCATTTTTGTACATAATACACCTAGAAACACAACAGTTGTGTCCCACATCACTACCTCATTCGCTGCACCCACACAATAGTGAGAGGTAAATTCAGATTTTGAACACTCATGGCCATTTTGTGTCATCACTGACAGCTGTAGACCCACTCAACAGTAATTTTCTCTTCTGTAAAACATTGTATTGTGGGACTGTTAGCAGAAAGTAGTGTACACGCCATAGACACTACTATTACTGTGGAATTGTTGAGGGCACTAAATAGTGGTTAGATTTACACATTCAGCATTGTGACACTTAATTTAAATAACAGACAGTAGGATAAAGCATTATAACAAATAGTTAGTGAATTTGGACACAGCGTACAAAAATACCAACTGTGTAAAGCTGTGTCACTTCTAAAATGTGTTAATGGTGTTGTATTGCGTCCTAGACTACGTTGTCTTCAGCTTTAGTTCCTCCTCCCTTGCTTTACTGGCTGAATCCCAGGACCTGCAACAGCCACTTGTCCATACACCTCACCCACATATCTTTTGAACAGAAGGCAGGCTTAGAGGCTCTGGTTCACAGCTATCCAGATCTTTTTGGGGACATTCCTTTACGCACTATAGTGTTGGAGCTGGGTATTAATGTGAGTAATGTAGCACCCATCCCCTTCAAGCATGTCATGTTCACACAATAGGCCCTATTGTGTGAACATGACAAAAAACTAGAAGCAATGTAAAAAGAAGTGTCTTAAGGATAACAATCTAGCCAAGCCCATGGGACTCTCCTTGCCTCCCAAATCAGACGGCTGCCCTCATTTCTGCAGACATCTGAGGTGAATGCGACTACAATAGACCCATTTCTATCACCTCACACTGAGGACTGAACAGATAACACTGGTTCTGCTGCATATGCCAGTAAGTTAGATTTTCTTAAGGAGCAAGATCCATTGACATCACAGGCTAAAGACATATTGGTAATGTGTTTCATCTGACCACACCCTGCAGTAAATTGATGGCATTTGGGATGAAACTGCTCCAGCCACCATCCAGAGACCAGTGCCCACTGTGCTGGTACTGTAGCTGTTTGACACTGCAATGTTTTCCTCGATGACTTTGTTATTTATTCCTTCAGCCAGCCTGAGGTGATCGTTTTGGATCAAAAAGCAGTGGCTTCCCTGACATTTAACTTGGTCGAAGATATTACTTGTTAAAGAGGGTGGAAGAAGGCAGTTTTTCACCATCAATGCTATGGAAACTGCTGTTGTTACTGTACCTTTCCTGTGCCAGCTGTCGAGTGTAAGTTGCACAGATTTATGAGGATGTCTGGTTACTATAGATACTTCTATAAAAGTTTTGCTCAAAGTTGTGGCTCCCCTTGTCAAACCACATAGTCCAAACCAGCCATCTGTCCAGACAGCTGACTGCCAACACACACTTGAATGTGCC